TGATAGCTAATATTTGCTGAACACTTAGTCCATGCTTACCAGTATTCTGAGTCTGTTCCTTGTATTCTCTCATTTAATCCATACAGTGTACTGTGAGGAGAAACAGTTATTATCATTTTTAAAAATATGAGTAAGTCCAGGCTAAGGGAGGCTAATTAAAGTGTCCAGGTTCACATAACTAGTAATGGGTAAATCTGGAATTGCAACCCAAGTAATTTGTTTCTAAAGCTTATTTGCTGAAGACTCTAATTAGTGCTATCATGAAAGAAAGAAAAAAGCTAGTCTATAAATCTAGCAGCCTGAGTTCTGTTCCAACTGTATCACTATCATAGTTGATTAGGACAAAACAAATATTCTTTTATGGTCTCAATTTAGTGGTAACATGAAGGCTTTAAGCTAGGTGATATTCAAGACCTGTTGCAGCATTATAATCTTTAATTAAGTTATACTTTGTTCCAAAATATGAAAGATATAAATGTCATTGTTATTAAAGAATTCATAAGGTAGTTGTGAAAATAAAATTTATGTTAAAAAAACTATTAGTGAGCACAGATTTCTTTCGTGCCTTTTCTAGCTAAACTATCATCAACTTTTTTGTGCCTTCATAGTAAAATAGTTTTATCATAATATGCTGTAATTTTTTTCATTTGTTTTACCTCCACTTCTATTGTATTCACTGAGAGATATTTGAGGCAAAAATGATATCTGTTTACCTCTATTTTCTCAGTACTAAGCAGTATCTGGTTTTTAATATAGCCCCAATGAATTATTGTTTCAAATTATGGTTCTCAATCTACTTAAGAATGGCTTAGGGCTTATCAAAGATGTTCCACCAAGTGACTTATTGACTTAGGTTTTTTGATTATGAGGCCTGAGAACCCATATCAGTACTGTTTTGTGGGTTCTTATGTGCCTGATACATGTGTTGTTCAATTATGCACATGACAATGAAATTCCCTAAACCAAAAAGGGCTACAGCACAGGTTCTGGAAGTGTGATTTCTGAAAGTGCTCTAAAAAATAAATGCTGTCACCCCAAACTATGTGATTAAAAAAAGGGATATCGCAATTGCCTCTTAGAAAAATCACTGTTTTATAGCATATAAAAGGCTCTGAATATCCTACAATAAAAACAATAATGCTTACTTTGTTTAAGAAAGCATTTATCAATTATATTGAATCTTGTAACTTGCCTTGAAATTATGCACTGACACGATTCAGAAAAGAACTTGTGGAGAACAGGGGGACAATGTGGATTATGTCTGAATGAAAACATCTATATAATTGAACAGGCAAGAGCAAGGCAAATGATAAGATAAGAGCACATAAGTGTAAATGTGGAACTTGAATTAAATGCTCCAACTAGAGCTGATTTCACACGTTTCAATATTGGAGAGAAATTTGAAAAAGTATATTGCACCAAACAATGGTGAGCTTGGATGCCAAAGAGGGGATTCAGGCCAAGAATGCTTAATGATCTTTCTGAGAGTGAAGTAGCCAGATGTTGGACTCCATGAAAACACTCTTCCTCCTCTTAAAACCGTGATTCAAAATGAATATGGAAATTCCATTTGACCCAGTGATCCCCCTTCTAGGAATATATCCTAAGAAAACCAAAAGGCCAATCAGAAAGAATGTGTGTACCCCTAAGTTCATAGCAGCACAATTTACAATAGCCAAGATCTGGAAACAGCCCAATTGCCCATCAGTAGATGAGTGGATAAAAAAGTTGTGTACATTTATACCATGGAATACTATGCAGTAGTAAAATAGAAGAATCTCTTACCCTTTGAGACAGCATGGATGGATGTGGAAAGTATCATGCTAAGTGAGATAAGTCAGCCAGAGAAAGACAAGTATCACATGATCTCACTCATATGTGGAATCTAAGTAACAAAATAAACTGATGGACAGAGTGGATCCAGAGACATGGAAGCATAGAACAGAGTGTCGAATCTTGGAGGGAAGGAGGGGAAGTATGGGTGGGTGGGAAGTAATCAACCAAGAACCTTATATGCATATATGCATGACCCATAGCCACAGACAATGGGACAGTAAGGGCCTGGGGCAGGGCGTGAGGTGGGCTGGAGGGAGTCAATGGGGGAAAAAGGGAGAAGTACATAATACTTTCAACAATAAAGAATTATTTTTAAAAAATGATGATAAGTAGGCAATTGAAAAATTTCAGAATACAAATAAAAATTTAGAATTAATATTATATGGAGATCAAACAATTTGAAATTTATAGCTGACTTAATGACTTCAAAGCAATTATTATTCATATCCAAAAATTTGAATTTCTTTTGCTGATATCTTTTAATGGAGAAAGCTCCTTTTAACTTTTTTTAATTGCAAGTGCAGGCAAATGTAGAATAAACAACTAAATAGAAATATGAAGACTATCTCTAGTTAAAACAATTTGGATATGTTCATTTTAATGTATGTTCATTTTTAAATACTGCTTTTAAATTTTATTTGCTTATATTTAGTTCTTAAAAACATAAAATGACAATAAATTTGGTCATAGATAATATGTGTTAGAGAAGCTGGCATAATCATACCGCATTTATTAGGAAAACAACATTGCTGTGTTAGTGTTCCCAAGATTGGAGGGTCAGAAAGGCAAGGAAGAATGTTCTAATTTATTTTAGTGAGTTGAACAATCTTTTGATTTCTATTTATTTTTTATTACTTCTTTTGTTTGTTTTATATATCCGTCATCATCTCTAGTATGGACAACAAGGGATTCCTCCATAAATTTACTTGAAAAGAACAGATTGTGTGTTTTTCTTGATGTATTTCACTACATATGTTGGCTTTTCTAAATGAAGATATACTAAAAATAATTCAAGATAAAAAAATAGAACTCATTAGTTTCTGAAGAGCTTCTCGTGTATTACTACTTGATAATTTGAAATTTTCAAAATATGTGCAAAGTAACATAGATCTATACAAACCTTAGGTAGGAATTCCAGCATTGCCCTATGCAAGGTTGACAGGTATTTTCAGACTCAGGTCTGATTTCAACTTTTGGCTCTGAGAGCTCTTTTTAGATCTCTGCTCACACAATTCTACCTTTTGTTTAGTTTTTATCAAAAATATATTTTGCATTTTTAAAAATATTGTTTTTTCTACAGAGAGAAAGGGAGAGGAATAGAGAGCTAGAAACATCAATGAGAGAGAAACATTGATCAGCTGCCTCCTGCATATTCCCCACTGGGGATGTGCCCGCAACCAAGGCACATGCCCTTGACCGGAATCAAACTTGGGACCCCTCTGTCCGCAGGCCGGTGCTCTATCCACTGAGTCAAACCGGCCAGGGCTTTGCATTTTTTGTCATGCTAAATTAGGATTCAATGAAATGTTGGCTAGCAAAGGAACAACATTTTTATTATCTTTACAATCCACTATCACTTGCTTTTATGCATATACTTCTGAAATAACTAATACAAAATACACATTTTTACAATGATTATTTATGTTATCCCTGTATTTGATAAGTGTTTTTTTTTCTGAAAACCTTTATCTTTTTTCTAGTGTGTGGTTAAAATATCTGAGCACAATTATCAATGTCAGAATATATGAGAAATATTTTAAGTTTAAGCTGCATATTCCAGTTTTAACCATAGATAGTAATTTCATACTATGCTGCTCCAGCACGGCCAAAGGTGAACCTGAGGAGGGGCAGTGAAGGATTGAAGAAAAGACAGACAAGAGAATACAGCTGGGGCTGGGTGGACCTCCCATGCCTGGATGAGGACACAAAAGACCCAGCCTGCAAGCCGATGCTTAATTTTGTAGTCTGATTAAAACAAGGGTAGATTGACATGTATACACATGTTCTTGTTTTGGCAACACTTGCTGCACCTCCCACAGCCCATTAGCTACTTAGGAAGGAATTAGGGAGGTCTACAAGGTCAGGCTTAATTATGCTAGGAGAGCTCTGCCCTCCAGGCTGGGACTTGTTTGTGGCCCTGCCACAGGTCAGACCGAGGCTTGACCCTAGAGCTGCTCCCTACATCATACCATATTATTTTAATTATACAAAAAGAAAAGATGAGGTCTGGGAAAAATAATTTGGTTAATAGATTTTAATTTTAGAGTTGGAGGGTGAAAAGTCCATTAAAGATCCTATATCTAACTCCAATATTGAATAATAGAGATAAGGAAATATTCCAAAAGTGCTTTTTCTACTATGATAAAAATAAATGGTTTAATTAAATAGAAAGAAATTTCTAAGTAATCTCTGTACATCTTCACACACACATAATATAATACATTATTTGTATATTATGGGGTACAATATTTATGTTTACCTCAATTAGCTTTAGTACCAATATTACTTTCTTAATTTTACTATTTATTGCCCACAGTATATATATTCTACACCAGAATTTCCAATAACATAATTTAAATCAGTGCTGCCTAATAGAACTTTCTGTGATGATGTAAGTGCTCTAGATTTATGCTATCGGATATGGAGCCACCAGACACATTGTTGTCAAGCCCCAGAAATGTGCTGGTGTAACTGAGGTGCAATGCAGTCCATTTAATCTTACATATCTTTAATGAATTTAAATTTGAAGAGTCAAAATTAGCTAGTGGCTAACACATTGGACAATTGCAGAGTTAAGTAAATATAATGCACTCCTCTATAATTCATTTAGAATTTTTCATAAATGACATACCAAAAGAAAATCATATATCTGGAGAATTTTACTCTCTTACATTATAGATATATTTTGAAGGTTTACATGTGTTAACAATATATATTATATATGAGTTTGTATACTAAAGAAAACATGTTTAAAATTATATGAACATTTAAAAGTATGAAAATATCATTAGAAAACTTTCCCTTGACATGTGCTTCTTAGAAGCTACAGTTCAGAGAAATACCAAAAATTAATTGGGAATAGTTGAGCACAGACGTGAAATATTGTGTGAGGTTTTACTCCTTAAGTGTCTGTAAACAAAATGGCTATTGACTTTCTTTCCTAGGTATTTGTATTGGATTGACTGCTGTGAGTATCCGCACATTGGCCGTGTTGGAATGGATGGAACCAATCAGAGTGTTGTCATAGACACCAGGATTTCTAGACCTATGGCACTAACTATAGATTATGTCAACCATAGACTCTACTGGGCTGATGAAAATCACATTGAATTTAGCAACATGGATGGATCTCATAGACATAAAGGTTGGTACAATAGCACAAATGATTCAGTATTTTGCCACTTCATAAAATATTTTAGAAAAAAATATGTATATATATATTCATTACATATACTTTCATCAAATATATTTCACAATTTGTGTTAATTATCATACTCATTTATGATAATATTGCTAAATAAGAAATCAGATATATTTATTGAAAACTTCTTTAATCATAAATAAAAATAATTTTGACACTCTAGGTTTTCTCTAATTGTACTTTTCTAAGTAGTTTTTATATATAAATGGACAAAATATAAGTTAACATAAGCATGTATTCTAATTGAATTTAAACAAGAATATTTGCTTGTAAACATAAGGCTTTTATTACAATCTAATAGGGTTGAGTTTTCTTAAAACACTAAGTAAAAGTACAGTTCTTTAAAGAAACTTAAGCAATATTATTTAAAAGTGATCAGTTATATTAAAACATGATTAAATTGAGTGTTATCTAATAAACAATGGCAACAAAAATTAATGTGGAAACAACTTTCAAATTGGAATAACATTAAGAAATGTTCATAATTTAAATATGAATGAATACAATTTGGCAGATACTTTTTTCTATATTTTGTAATGCGGAGTAGATTAAAAGCTCTAAGTATAAAACAATTGAAGGAAGAGCGTATGAGGGAGTTAACACTAGAATTAGAGATCAGAGAAAACATAGCTGAGGATGGGAGAACTTGGAGGGGCAGTAGAGAATGACAGAATAAAGAAGAAAGGGGTAGAGATGAAGATGAAATGGATATAACAGAAACCACAGGCAATTCAAATGAACACTCAAAATATGTAGGTGGCTTTTTAAGGATTAGATTTTTTTCTAAGTAAAGAAATCAGTTTTTATTAATCTTTAATGACCTATTGTCACCTTTTCATCTGCAAATATCTCCTGAAGTACAGCTTTCACAGGGAGGCCCCACAGAAAGCCTGCACATTGGTGTGGTTTAGCTTAGCAGATTATTTTCTTCTCTGCAGTAACCTTAGAACAAAAGTCCAGGAGCAGGAAAGGTGAGGAAGAGAGGTGAGGCCTGGAAATGTATGGTGTCCTGAGAAGGATGGGAACACTAAATAAATAATTTAAATCAATTAATTAATTAGCTCATTAATAAAACTTAATAAGTCACACCATTTCATAATTTTTCCCAAGTCCCTTTCAGCTAATATTTCAACAGCTATATCCTTCTAACTAAAAATGCTGACAGCTTTTAGAGGTTCTTTTTTAAGGGTAAGAAGCTTGAGGTATGACAAGTCTAGTTGAATGAGTCACACATATGGGTGCTGGCATTCCAATTATAGACACAAAGAAACTCATCAGGATGCAATTGGAGTGCAGAACGATTTAAAGATCACTTTAGGATCTTAATTACAGCCAAAGCAATGTTGTCAACTCCAAATCACACTTAGTGTGTTCAGCAGTTATATATCCTGCAAAGACAGTAATGTAATGTTCTGCAACATACCTAGATGATATTATTGAAAGTTTTATTGTGGCAGTCAGTATTTTACTTAGATAACCATGAACCTGTCTATTTTTAGCCTCTATATACAGTACTAGGTGTTGTGAATGTATTACTTTGTGCCAAAATTTTACTGTACAATTAAATGTAAATAATTTCTTGGCAGATATCAGAGCAGCAAGTATTTGCCTGTTTTCATTTAAACCTTAGTGTTGGAGTAACAAAAACTGTAGTTAAAAAAGTTGTCTATTAGAAACTATTGATTGCATGCCCTACTCATTATTTAAAAATTATGTCAGATATGTAGGTGACTACTGCTTTGGCATCTTAATACAAAATTAAATGCATGTACATGAAGTGTTCCTTAATTATAGAATTGATGGTGACTTTGGGTAGAGGGACATATATAACAAGAGAACATGGTACTAAATCCATTAAAGAGTGAAATATTTAGCTGACAGATATGCAGGTATGATGTTAACATTTTAAAATTTGATTTTGAAAATACTTTGAGGCTTAATGATTGGGGGTGGGAAAGAAAAGTAAAAGAGTTGCTGCCTTTAGAAATATTTTCTCCTAAAGGTTTTCAGAAGACTAATGAAAAATTCATTAAGTGTCTTATCAGGCATCTGCCAGCATCTGAATGAAAGCCAATAATTACTTGGTAGTTACTAATGTGCTACTAATTGTAGGCAGCCTAAATTATGTCAACTCCACATCCAATGGGGAAAAAAAGCCATTTATTTTCCATATTTATAAAGAGAAATAGGATTTTTCTGCTTCTTGCATTTGCCCCATAAAGACATAGAGAATGCTGCTGTTTTCTAGATGTGATTTGGAGGTGGAAAATAAGATATGTTAAAATAACTTGTCTATTAGTTTGGTCACTGACTTTTCTTTTAACTAAAATAGTATTATTGTTCTTATTTATTCTATATATTAAAACCAGAGCCATAGCTAATAAAAAGAATGGAATATGTCAATCCTGAAATAAGTAATTTGAGAATACAAAGGATGTATAAAGAATTTCAGAATTATGATCTTTTTTTATAAGTCAAATTTTAATAAGGGAGAAAAATTAAACTATGTATTGCACTTTACAGAAAGCTTTCTTCCCAAATATGTTCTGATTTAAACCATGCATTAATTGCATAAATGAAGCATTCTTTTATTACTAGAGGCCCAGCACATGAAATTGTACATGGGTAGGGTCCCTAGACCTAGCCTGTGATTGGAGCCATCTTCCGCCCATTCACTAGTCCCTAGTCCCACCCCACCACTGACACCCACCCCAGTTCCCGTGGTTCCCCATGGCCATTCAGTGATTGGAGCCTTCGGGCTGTGGGGAGGGACAGAAAGGTGGTCAATGCACCTCATAGCAACTGGTCGATTGGTCGTTCCGGCCGTTATGCCGTTATGGTCACTGGCCTTTTATTATACAGGATTATTTGTCTGGTTTAAGAACGTCTAAAGGTTCTGAATTCTGTTCCCTAAAATATAGGTCAGGTTACTTTTGAGGTACATGGGACTTGCAATTTGCTTGAGAATTTCCATCATCTTTTCTTGCTACCCCCATTTTCCTACCAAGTCCAAACACTACATTGCAAAATAAAATAAAAATAAAATAAAACAAAACATTAGTTAATTTTGTAGTATAGGAATGTGAAGGTCCAATCTTAGTCACATGAACCTCTCCTCAGTGCCTGTGTATATCATTCTATTGGCCTTTCACTCAAATAATTCTATAATACTATAAAATATAATTATAATAATTTAATATCATAGCATATTATGCATGGTGCTGGGTAACTGAATCCATTTATTTTAAATCAAAATTTCATTGGTTTATTTTTAAAATTTCTCTGATTTCTTCTCTTTAGATCTACCTATTCATTCACTCATTCACTCATTCACTTATTCATTCAACAAACATTTACTGATTTTTTTTCCCCCTTTGCTACAAGTTATACTAGGCCCTGGAGTTATCAGATTCCTGTCTTTAAAACACTTAAGTTTAATTGGAAAAACTGATTTGCAGGTAAAGATGTGAATCCGATTGGGGTTAGAGGTATATGAAACATTGTAAAAAATGCAGGTTGCAGTAGGTGAGCCTTTGGGGAACTGGGTTTCTTTGAGAAGTCTGAGACATAATGCAAGCTCTCCATATGGGGAAACGTAGGAAGGATTCTTCTCACAGAGGGGATAGCCTGTGCACAGATGTAATTGCTTCTTGAAATAGCATGGGGTTTACACCATTTGGCTATGACTGGAAGTCTTATTAGAGGGAGATAATGACAGTAGATGAATAAGGGCAAACTGGGGCCAGGTTGTGACAGTGCTTGTATGCTAAGTAATTTGGAATTTATCCTTTAGGTCATAGGGAGCCATTGATGGTGTTTAGTTGGTAAAGTGCTATTATTAGATTTGACAACAGCATGGAAAATGAAAGACCCTGGAAGGCCAACCAATTTAGAGGCTGCTAAAATATTTTAGGAGATAATACTTGAAGTGATTACAGCTGAGGGAATGCGGATGAAGTTTTATGTTCAATAGGTATTTAGCAGAATAAATGAGAGATCTGTAAACTTGAAATAGAGAATCATTAGTGGTTGAGTTGCAAATATCAAGTGAAATATTTACATTATTATCTACTTAGAGAGGGGAAAAACTCTATTTTGATTACATTAATTTCATATATATTTGTACTTTTTTAAAGAACAAAAATACAAATACTAAGCATAGCTAAGAGATTATTTTTAAAAGCTCTGTTTTGATGAGCGATGCATTGATTTTAACAAAAGGGTCAGCACAAAAGGAATTCTAAGGATGTTTAAACACTTCCTCTTGTCTATTTTCCTAAAGACAAGAACACCTGATAGTTTACCTTAGAAAGATGGCACAGGAGTGGATCTGTCCTCTTCCACTTTCTCTTGAGCTATAAAATATGTCCAATGAGACTTGGAAATTTCACAGTGTTCTTCAGATTTAAATGTTTAGTTTAAAAATTGTTATATGTTTTTATAAAAAACAGAATGATTCTAAACACAATGAGTCTAAGTAATAATATTCTTCTTGTGGATCCATGTATTTGGGATTGGTTTCTTACCACTCCCAAACCACAACCCTGCTCATAGAATTTTAGGCTACAAATTTGGGTAAGAACTAATAAACCTTTGCTGGAGTACAGATTTTTAAGAAAAAGGAAATTTTCATATTGGAGAAAGCAATCTCTTAGGACAGCCGTGGGCAAACTACAGCCCGCGGGCCGGATCTGGCCCGTTTGAAATGAATAAAACTAAAAAAAAAAAAAGACCGTACCCTTTTATGTAATGATGTTTACTTTGAATTTATATTAGTTCACACAAACACTCCATCCATGCTTTTGTTCCGGCCCTCCAGTCCAGAGTACAGATTTTTAAGTAAAAGGAAATTTTCATATTGGAGAAAGCAATCCCTTAGGATCTTAAAGAAAGCTTGGGGAACCTGAGGATAAGGGGGGTTGGGGTGGGATCTGTTGCTAAAT